TAGGCCCCATCTGCGCTATGCCACCTGCTGACGGGACACCAGTGAGAGATGATAGGTGAGAATGAAAGCAGGCCAGTTGACCCATCGTGATTAATTCAACAAGAATTAATGACGATGGTTTCTAGAGGGAACCGCGTGGAGGTTGAGCTAATAGGGTATATTTATTTATTTATTTCAGGTAACAGGTTTATAAACATAGGCCCATAGATTAATAATATAATATAGTCTTATATTAATATAATATAATATAAAACTATAAAGTAATAATGGGCCTATATCAAGAATATAAAAAAATGTATAACTAAAATTATTTCCATGTTGTGCCGGCGACGTATAATGCATCGTATCTGTTGCTAGCAATAGGGCTTTAGACCCCTAACAATCTCTTTCCCCCTGTTAGTATCCATAAATGTAGGTAAAGAGTACCTATATGTATAGTGAATGTACTCAGAATTATATAAAGTATTTATGAGCTATATTGAAATGCATACAGAAAATCAAGTGCCTAGATGCAGTATTTTTAAGCGGCTTTCAAAAGAAGTTTCTCGATGCTTTTCGTCTATACTTTTTTTGTGGCTATTTTATACGATTATATCACCGATTTAAAATTGATTTTGACGATTCTTTTTGTAATCGACGGAGCTAACCAGCATTAAAAATTTAAAGGAAAATTATTAGGTCACTTTAACTTGTCTCACATTTGGAAGATATCGAATTACAACATGGCATTTGTTGAGGATTAGCCGTACACCGAGACTTCCTAATGGAAACAACATCGTCGGGTTTTCCAAACAAACCGATGACTTTTGTAAACATACAATGTAAACATGAACGCGTTTGTTACTGCGAAAATCCGCCACAACGACAATACGTGATCATATTATTCAACATGTCGTCCGTCCGCCATTTTGTTTTTTAGAACCACGCTTGTTGTGTATCTACTCATTCCTGGAATTATTTAAATAGTGAAACGTCAATTATTTTAAGTTTTAAAATTCAAAACTCAAACTAATTCTGTGGTGATAACACGCTGGTAAATTATTTCTATTAAAAGTCAAAATTGATGGACAATTAGTGAAGATCTTGATCTTATAGATATCGCGTAATATCTTCAAATTAAGATTATTCTTTTTTTGAAGTCCCATATATTATTAATATAATATAGTCTTATATTAATATAATATAATATAAAACTATAAAGTAATAATGAGCCTATATCAAGAATATAAAAAAATGTATAACTAAAATTCAATAAAAGTCATTAAGTGTATTCTTACCAAAATCTGACAACGTTTGTATTATTTATCAGTTTTTAAAAAGAAATAGTTATTGAAATCTTGATGAAAACTTTATATACACACACACACAACAAAATAAATTCATTTCATTTCATTACAAAATCAGAGTCATAACACCTCAGTCATCAAAAATGGCAACGAATGAAGGATAATATGGTCGACATAGTATACTCTGTTATGTCCATGGTACTCGTACTATGTTTATAAGCGACCGTCAGCTTGTTTGCCAATCTTAGTTGCATAAAAAAAGAAATATTTTTTTATACTTCTGAATGATCATTTAATACATATTGAAAGTGAAACTACTTTTCAAATGGGGGTAATATTTTAGATTAATTGCAGTACAATATCCAATATAACAATCATCTTGTTGCAACCGGTAAGGGCAGTGCAGTGTATTCTGTACCGTACACATCACTTTCCATGATTGCACCGTGGTCAAATTTATTTGCCTTAGCCATTAAGAAAAATGTCAGCGTAGTATTTATTATGTGGGTTTGCGTGGAACGGAACAATTTCCGCGTAAAAGTAGGTCTCTATTATGTAAAATGATTTAACAATCACAATAAATGAATTTGACACGGTAGCGGTACGAGCCAGCCGCATGCTACATGCCAGACATTCTAAAAAACTGTCTATCTGCACACCATGCCCCTTATGAGTTGAAAGGAATCCCAAAACTTACGAGTACATACGAGTATTTTTCTAGTATAGAAATGCCTGAATTTTTCATAATGTCTTTCAAGCATGCGTTCTGGTTTTAGATATTGAATTAATTTTCTGTAAACATGAGTATTATTTTTAAGAATATTCTATTATATAGTGTACATTTCAAATACTAAAATGTGTAATGATTAATTAAATTGCGTTCCGCAAAAAAAAGGACTCAATGCTGGCAAAATTAGTTATTTTTGTTTAAAAACAAATCTACTGAACCGATTTTGATAATATTTCTATGAAACCAATCTGCAAACATATCGTTTTAGATAAAAAAAGACTTTTCCAAATAGGTTTACAACTGACAGAACAAACATAAAAAATACAACCATATAGAGAACCTTCTTCCTTTTGAAGTCGGTTAAAAAGGTATGATATGACACGTAATTTTAAATGTAGATGCATAAATTGAACTTTATTTTTATAAATATGTTTTATATTAACTCAGTTAGTGTACAGTATATAAGTAAATGTAGAAAATACAAAGATCATAACAAATCTGAAATACTAAGTAGTTTATTGGCACTAAAATTTATTAATTATTTTTTATGTTTGTTACGTTATATGGCATACACTCAAAAATGGCGATAAGATAAGACTCAATACGGAAACTTATTTATTTTTGACTATTATATTATATATTATATTATTATTATTTGCATATATATATTATTTTACGAACTAAAAATTAAGAGGTTATCATTCAAAAACATTATAAAGACATTTTATTTAATTGAGTTACTGAAAATATTATTTATACAAGAAAACAATGCGTACAGGAAATCTTACGTGTTTGACAATTACTAAAAGTAATTTTTACAACAATATATGATTCAAAATAATATCCATGTGCAAACAATATTTGACTTATTGTTGTTTTGCAAATATTAAATTATGAATTTATTTTGTACCAGAAATGTATAATAAGAAAAAGGAATAAAGAGGTTTCTTCAGGGCCGACAACGCGCGCGTAATGCCCTTAATATTGCAGGCGTTCATACGCTTACAGTAACCGCTTACCATCAGATGGACTGTATGCTTGCTTGCCATCTCAGTGGTATCAAAGAAAAGATTTGTTAAATACATATTTGCTTTGGATTCCACGTTCTCATCTATAACATATGTAGGTACATTGACCTAGACTCTATACGTTCTTAAAATATATCTTTTGTAATTATGAGTTAGACTTTTATGTTGGAAGTTTTCGGAGAAACGGATTTTGGTTAATACTGTTACAAATTCATATTCAAATTGATGAAGCTATGGTTTGAGAACCTATTTGTTAAAAAAACCTGCTTACAACTATAATCTTTAATGGGGTAGTTAGAGGCATTCATCTTATGTTGTCGTAGTGAACGCAACAATCATGCCGAGATTTTGAGAGAGCTGTATTAAAATTCAATCTAAATATAAAAGTCGGTAAAAATAGATAGATAATTATAAAAGAAAAAGAAACATTTTTAATTTATAGAGCGGTTAATCTAACAGTAGAACATTACAAGACATAGCTTCCAGTTACTCTATCGTCGGTACTTCGCCCGGGAGCCGGGGCCCATGAACTTACTGCGCCGCCGGAACAGGTTTACAATCACCCGTTCTGTTTTAGCAATCCACTGCATATGCTAGAACTTTGAATTTATAATGAGTTTTAAGTATAAATATTTGATTACAGTTTTTTAGTCACCGCCAGCTGATGATAGAGTTCATGTTGTTTATTAGGATTCTATAGCAAAATAGTCTAAATGGAACCTATAACTAGTCCGGCCATAAATACTATTATATATAAACTTTTCTATTTCAACTTTGTAAATATTTTTAATTTGGAACGCGTTTATTATTTTAAAAACTTCTTTCGATTTCGCGCCATTTTACATATTTTTTCGTGTTCACTATCTAATTACAATATGGAACGGGGTGTTAAAGAAAATAGGATTGCAGTGATCGCGATAGAATATTTTTTTTTTTGTATTGAAAGTTTAATAAATATATAGGTATAATCTTCAGTAATATTACATTACTTCATAAAAAAAGTGCATTTTCATTTGTAACAGATCTTATAGCTGGAGTAGGTATACTTTCGTTATATTAATTTATCTACGAGATCTTATTTTTATTTACGATTCATTCAAAATGCAATGACAGATTCGTATTTGTATAAAAAAATGTATAGTTTTCTGCTATACATTTAACGAGTATAAAACTACAAACAGGACACTGCTCTAATAAATCGTTCTTATTTGGACAAGTAAGTTAACACAATTTATTGTAACATATGTGATTAGATTTACAATTTATTCATACAGTCCGAATTGTACAAATAAATTGTAACGATTTATTAAAGACCGTATCACCTGCATAATTCTTGAAAAATCAAAAAGGTGTCAAGAATATTATAGTATATGTGCAGTATCATAAACATGTCTACCTCACAAAAAAAACACGACTATCAAATTTCGCACGCTTTTGACAGTTTATTTCCTTAATAAATTTTTATGTAGTTATTATGTTGCCTATAACACTTCCAAGATTAAAACTAATACCTGTATACCATTTATTACAACGTGCTCGTGACTCAAGATATTCAATATGCACTTAGATTTTTATAGTAATAATAATATACTTTTATTTGCTATGACTTTGGGTATAAAACATTGGATCTTATACATTAAACCTTACAAAATCTAGTTAGATCAATCGTAAAAATATTGGAAATAAAATTTACAATAATTTATTTTCAAATGTTTAGTAGCATTAAAAAGCCTATTATTTAAGAAAAATAGTACAAAATTACGTAATAATAAGATGATTAAAATATGTTATTTATTAATTCAATTTATTTATTTAAAAGTCATTAGTTTCCTTTCGTCAATAGTTGGGAAATATACGACATAAAACTCATGTAGCATACTCACTCCAGTTTACTGAACTTTCGAGCTGTAATGGTGCTAACCTGATGTCATTAATAGTCATTTTCGTATGTTCCAGGGTTCGTGCTCGCCTCCGCCGTGGTACTGCTGTTGCTCGGTATCATCTGTGCCATATTCTTCGGCACCTGGGTCAGACTCTTCATAGACCATGTGAGTATCTTAGTCACAGACTATACGCTATAGTTTGTTTCAATATAACCACTTTTAATGGTAAACAATTTTTGTTGAAATTGTCATAGAAACACTCATTAGTAACAAATCGAAATACTGGATCAGTTAACTGATTTTTTATTAGTACTACTATTAATACATAGTAGATTTTGTAATCGGGTCAATTATACATTTGTTTATATTTTCATTAATATCTATTAAAACAAACTATAGAAGTATATTTACCGTGTTGTCCTGGTGTAGAATGGGCCACCCCTTCCTTTTCTGTGGGTACCGTGAGGCGACTATGGGAACATAATGGTCGAGGTATAGGCAGCAACGTGTCCATTAAAACAGCATCAAATCCTAATTGCAATTGCTAACCAACCTGTCCAAAGTGACAACTATTGGCAAAATCCGCTGCCCTCCATTAGGATTCGGACACAATGCCTCCGTAGCTGCCTCCTCCGCTGCACCGACTGTCCGACTTCCTTTGTCTCCATCCGCTTCATCGTTAAGGTCTTCACCCATTACCCTGGGTACGAGTTCTGCGCTATACCCCGCAACACTAGGTCCCTGCCGAACTTAGCCACTAACTCATTCTGGCCTACTAGAATGATCAATATTTACCCCCACCATATAGACGCGCCGCACAGGAATTACTGCAGTGAGAATATTAGAGAAGGGGGCTCTATTATTGTTACAGGCGCTATCCAACAGCTACGGCCAAACAAAAACATACAAGTATATATCATTGCTCTCAAAACAACATTTTCAAACGTGAACGACAACTAAATGTTCAGTAAATGTTCTAAAATGACTTAAAAATTGTAGTTTCAATTATCATAAAATTAATATGGTATTAACACAAAAGAAACCCTATCTATTACAAAAGGAATTGTGAAAATCAGTTCAAAACCAGGGCATAAACGCATAACATATATAGGTATGAAATAATTCAGATGACTCGAGAACCATCCTTGCTTAAGAAGATTCAAATCAAATGACCTTTTTATGTACACTTAATAGATAAACATGTTTTTTTTTTGCCTCCGGTTTGTCTAATTTTATCAAGATCGAAGTCACGATTTAAAAAGATTTTTTTATTAGGCATGTTTGTTTAATAAAGTATTAAATAAACGTATTTTATTTTATTTTTATTATTGATTCTGTCTTCTGTATGTGAATAGGTGTACCTATATACAAATAAATACATGAATAAAATAAATAATTTCATCACATTTTCATAAAAAAACGAAAACGAATATGTTAACGAAGGATTAATAAGAGGAGGTTCTAAATTCATTTGTTTTTCTGTTTGTTTTTTTCTTTTTTTTTTTATTAATTTTCACCGAGATTTTCTGGGATGCCATACGTTCTGTTTACTACAATGTATATCCGATTAAAAGTATAAAAGGTAAAAAAAACACCAAAACTTGCAAAGCAGTTCTTCCGCTACAAAAAGTTGTGAGAATTCATGTCAAACCAAATCAGTAGCAAATTCATCTGTTATATAATATTGGTGTATGTTACGCCATATTTCCACCAATTCGGAACATTAAACCCATTTTGATATGTCTTTTTGCAATCAATTGAGTTTACTTCTGTTAATATAGATATCAGGTACCGTTCAATATAGAAGCAAAATATACCTGTTTATTTAATCTATTAACACAATACCTTCAAATAATGAAATATATATTCTATATATTGAATATTCTGAAAATCTCGAACACGATACAGTAATTGCTTCTTTATAAGTAATTAATTTCCAATTGGTATGTAATGGGTTTTTATTTCGTAAATGGTTCTTAATTAAAGGTAAATCAAGAAATATAATTAATTATTTATTTTTTATTCGTCACATTTTACCTATAAAATACGGTACAAAAGGCAAACTTACTACTATATAGTATTATTTACTGGTTATCGGTATGTTAACCACTTAATGCGAGGGTTTTTCTGTGAAATGGGTTCAACTCGCGCTCTGGCACACGTACTAAATTCGAACGAGCTTACAATATATACACTAAGCTCTATGAAATACAAACGGGCGAGAAAATATCGCTCCAGATTAAAATATAAACATAATATTTATAAGTGGTAAGAGGTACTGGGGATAGCGCAAATCGAAACACATTTGATGCGCGAGAGGGTCTCGTTCGAGATGCTTAAGTGGTTAAAGTAATTACCTACAATCTAATCTAAAAAGTATAATATTACTATTTCGTCAATTGAATGTAATTTACGAGGACATTGTCTTTTGTTATATACACAAGATACATCCATTAAGTAGTATTAGCAGTTAAAAAAGCTTGAGTACTCACAGATAGAAAATTATGAGACCGCAACGCGTTCTTACCTAACGACATTGGGAAACGTTTGACCAACTGCGAACAAAAAGCCCATGGACAGTTTTTCATTTTGTAGTCACTAATTGAATCACTCGGCGACCCGTGCGAAATGTCATAATTTTAACCGCTTCTTGGTAGGTAGATGTACCGAAAATAGGGCTTCCGATCTTAGGTAACAATGTTGATGGTTTGATAATATCGATTTGAATCGGGTTGTCTCAAATCGTTCTATCAGATTATCAGCGTTCAAAAGATCAATCTCGCTCTTTTTTTATGCAACTTAGAATGGCAAACAAGCTGACGGCCCACCTGATGGAAAGTAGTAACCATCGCCTATAGACATGAGCATGTATATAACCAGAGTATACTCTTTCGCCCATGATACCCCCCATACGTTGCCATTTCTGAGGACTCAGGTGTTATTCTGTACCCTGTAAATTCACTGCCATATCCCACCCTTCAAACCGAAACACAGCCATCCAAACAACTGCTTCATGGTAGAAATACGAATAGGATAGGGGCGCCCAAACAAACGAATTTTATACAAAGTCTCCCTCTGATAAATCATGTGCATATTAATATGTAAGAAATAAAAAACAACATTAAAAATTAGAGGAATGTTATTTAGAAAAAATAGTAACTACCATCACAACTGTATGAAAAAAATTATACACAGAATGACCTACATATACTCGTATCCTCTTATTCATAAAAATAAAAAAATATCCTACGAACCTTTATAACTGTTAGAGTGGTTTATGAAATTGGTTTCTTAACACAACACAACAAACCACTTCAAAAGCTAAAATATGTTTATGAGAGGTTCGACATTTTTATAAACAAGTAGTTCTGAGAATTGGTTATTCTACTATATACAGCTATACTTGGCCGTATGGTCCCAGCATAGAATAGGCTACCCCTTCCTTTTCCGTGGGTGTCGTAAGAGCCGACTAATAGAGGGCGAGGGATGGGCAACAGCATGGATTGCCAGTCCCCCTGCCAAGCGTGGCAACTACTAGCAAAACCTCCCAAGGAGATGGCTTATATTTAGAAGTGGACAGTTAAATGCTGATATGATGATGATGATGATAGCTATACTTAGTTATTTTTGCTTATCACATACAGACTTGCTGGCGTGAGGATTCATTTATAAAAATAAAATTTTGCTCATTGACAAGAACTACACTTGAATATGGATAGACAGAATTGTCATTTCTTTTAATGTTCTTAAAAGTTTGTTTGTTAGTTTTTTAGGGAAAGAAAAGTTAGAAAGTTTAGCCAAAAAATCGGAATGTGTAAAAACTCTCAAAAAAAAGCACCTCAATATTCTTTATATTATATCTAAGCACAGTAGGTGGCTCTGAAAAAATATGCTTTCTACTTTTTAATTCATCTGTTAAAAGCTTGTTTTTAATTTTTTTTTATACTTATAAATTATCATTATTTAGAAATATACGAAACTACGAAAATGTAATTTAATTATAATATACTTCTATGTACAGATAATAAAATTGACACTAGACAATGTCTGTACATAAGAAATATTAAAAAAAAAATGTCTCAATAAGATTATTATTTCGGAAATTGTTTGTTGTAAAACTACTACATAATTGGATGCAATTATACTCTCAAAGATTTAACCAAAAACCTGATGTGTTTTATCTAGAAGTTGTCACCTTTTTTAAAACACATGGGTACGAAGTTACGGTCGAATGAAGTCATCTATAAATTTAAATTAATAAATGTGCAATTATAATATTATCTTATTCTAAATTAATGTTTACAATTATTTATACTATTTGTGCTTAGTTTTGTGCGGTTGCGACTATAGTTTCAACAGAACTTAATACAAATGTAAATAAACCAGTCTGCTGATCTTCAATAGTACCTAATACAAATAAAAAATCAATTAATTTATTAAATTTTTCATTTTTTTATTAATTTTATTTAGAGTATATTTCTATGAAAATTTCAACGAAACGTTGCTTTCTTTTGATTAAACAGTTTGGACTTTGTCCCCCTAATTATGAGCCTAGTAGTTCTCGATATTGCCACGTGACGGGCACAGATCGAGTCTAAAACTAGTTTGGTTACCCTAAAGGTAATTTAAGCGAAATAATCCGTCATAAATAATTCCAATTCTATATGACTCACAAAAGTTATTTTAAAAATAAATAGAACGCAGAAACTTTTTTTTTCGCGGGTAGGCGGTTAAAAAAGTAACAGCTGAGTTTGTGTTGCTCTACAATTTTAATTATTTAAAAATAGTAAATCTTCACAATATATAGTATACACGGTGAATAGTTAGTATATACATACCCATGAAATAATATTTATAATTTAAATACCTGTCGAAGCCATTACTACTTTTCTATTTTATTGATTCACATATACAATGGCAACCATCTTGGAAGTACTCAAGGCACAAGCTGCTATAGAGAAGAACTTTAATGAGCGCATCAATGCCTTCGAGGCACTACTGAAAGCCTCGCCATCAGGAGAAATGAGTTTGAAGCAACTGTGTAGTGAGTTCCAGTATTTCCGTGATCAAACTGTCTCCACATTTACTCTGTTGCGGCAGCAGATAAATCACCTTGTGGTCGGTATGGATGCAATAGAAAGCCGTCATCGGAAGAATTTCTTACT